CTCCCTTCTAGCACTGATGATGTTACCTAGTTGGGTCATGAAACGTCTGCAACGAAACAACCAAGCTCAGGGAAAGCGCCAGACCCCACAGGCCTTCTTCTCTTCCTCCTCCTCCTCTCTACAAAGCTCATCCTCTTCTATCACTGCTAGTCTTTTCCTCCTCCTCCTCCTCCTCTCCACAAATCTCACTCCCTTCTAGCACTGATGATGTTCCCTAGTTGGGTCATGAAACGTCTGCAACAAAACCAAGCTCAGAGAAAGCACCAGGCTCCACAGTTCAACTTTGAGCTACAAATGTTCTCTTCCTTAGATATAAGACTGGAAACCAGCTTCAGCGGTCAGATGTTGGCCTATTCTCAACAACAGGTTCATCTTTGCTGCATTGCGCCCAGATCCTGGGGAGCTTCAACCGCGTCGCGCTTGCCTTGGAGACGGCCAACTCTTAAGCGTTTATTCTTCTCTTACCCCCCCCCCCCTTCCCAATGGCTTCTCTAGGGCAAGGTGAAACCTGCACCCGCACCTCCTCGAAGATCTGGGACCCGGTCTTCAACAGTTCGGATATCCCGCTCCTCCCGGGCTCGCCGTGCGGCGACAAGAAGGGCTACTGTGACAAATTCCACACCTGCCGTTTCATAGATGAAGACGGCCCCATCGCCAGGGTGAAAAACTTCATCTTGGACTTCATCGAAATGGAGGACCCGGCCGGCTGGATGAAGGTGAGGACATCCTGCGTGGATGGAGGTGGGAAGGACCTTGAAGGAGGTCTACGGAGGCGGGTAACCATCCAATGGGCCGGGGACCACTGGTGGCCCGTGAGAAAATTTGGGTGGTCCGCAGAGAAATGTCATCCCCAAAGCAATTAATCCAGGCTGTGTGGGAACACAAGGCTGTGCCACCCACATGGCCCGCAGGAACACAAGCTTGCGTTGCTTGCATTGCGAACACGGTACTGAGGGGAGGGGGGAAAGGGCTGGGGGGGGGGAACTTGCCCCACACACCCCACACGCCTGGCCTGGCCACCGGGCCACTTCTTTCCGCTTCTTTCTTCTTCTGCTTTTGGCTGCACGCAAGGAAAGCAGCCAAAGTCTTTCTTTCTCTCCCCCAAACTCCGCCAGAAATGAGTCTTGGGGACTCTGCAAGGCCTCCTGCTCCAAGAGGCTGCGCCGGCAAAGACTCCTTTCTGGCGGAATTTGGCGGGAGAGAAAGACTTTGGCTGCTTCTGCTGCTTTCCTTGCACGAAGCCAAAAGTCTCTCTCTCTCTCTCTTTCCCTCTCCCCCTGAGAATGGAGCTGGAGACGGTATCTTGCAATCCGAAATAAAAGAATGATCTTGGCAAGAAATCGGGGCAGGGAATTTTCTTGCAGACTTTTTTGGGGGATATTCCCAGGGTCCCTGGTCCGCGGGATTTAAAATTACGAGTTTGGTGTTTCCTGAGATCCGAAAGGTTGGTGACCTCTGGTCTATGGAGATGTTCAACCATCCAGGTCCTAGTTATCCCAAAGATGGAAAAAACCAAAAGGCAACTGGACTTTCTTGGCGGTTTGTTTCCCTTTCTTCTTTTGAAAATGTTTCACTTTTCTATTTGGAAACCGCTTCTGGACTTTTTGCTCGAGGTCGGGGGGTGGTGGGAGGAAATGAAAATTTAAATTTTTGGTTTTGCCGATCTTAAAGAAACAGGCTTGTCATTATAGAAATGGTGAGTATCTATATTATTCTGCCAAAGCCAAAAAGTTGACGTTGTACGTTATTATTCTATTGTGCCGAAAAAAAGTCAAGATGTTGACGCTTTTTCTTTTTCATTTCCCTTTTATCCTGTACTTTTTCTTTTCCTCTTCCCCTTCTCCTCCCTTATCTTCCCGTTATTCTCATTTTACTTTCTGTTTCTGTATATTTTGACAAACTAGTAAAATTTGAGAAACTGAATGAAGAGTAGCTGGAGGTGCCAGGGGGCGGAAATGGCTCCAGGGCTGATACTGAAAATGTTTTTGCTTCTCATCCAAGAAGCTTCTTCAGTTCTGAGGAGCTGGAGAAACTTCTGGGGATAAGAAGCGAAATGTTTTCAAAGGAGGAAAAAAAAAACCCAAGGAAGTCCAGTTGTCTTTTGGAAAAACCACCTTTGAAACAAATCTTAAAGAATGGAGGGAAAAGATACAGCCCAGGTAACCATCAGATAAAAGGTGGAGGAGCCCACAGATGCGTAACCGTCAGAGGAAGCAATTTTGGAAGGACCAGGTTACAAAAAGAGACAGTGAGAGATTTGTCCTTTCAGACATGCAATATTCTGTTAAGGTAGACTTGCAATAAAGTAGAATCTATAGATATAAAAGCCAAATACCCCTCATGCATCATCACAAAATCTCCAGAACCCGTAAATCCTACAAACTTGAAATTTGGCCTGTTATGTTCCTCTTGGCTTCTAGGTGCTCACTAAGAAAGGATTTTTCTAAATGACCATCATCAGAGCAATTAGTATTTCCTATATTATTATTATTATTATTAACACGCTCTGATGCTAAGGAGTTCTACTCCCCCTCCCCACCTGAAAAGAAATCTGTTCCAAATGCAAAACACAAGCAGAGGAGAGGAGTTTTCAGTTTCGGAGCACCAAGCAGCTTTAGTACAGAACAGTTGTGCTAAGCCACGCCCAGGCTCCTCGCTGTCTTCTTGTTCACACAGCAAATACTGTTTCAGTTTCCAAACAGCCCTCAACTCTCTCACCCTGACAGGACGCGAGCCAGATGAATACCAATGGATGCTGGTCGGCAGAGGCAGAATTGCTCCCCCCCCGCCTTATTTTCTTCCCCCAAAATTAAGCCCTACAACATACTATCGTAGCAAAGCACGGGTATCGAGCTAGTTAGTTTATATAGTTGTGTTTCCTGTCGGTTTACCTGGAAGGGCTGATAATTGAAGACAAACATCCAAACTTCGTCCATAGCTTAGTACAGGCGGGCTCCTCGACTTACGACCATTTGTTCAGTGATCATTCAAAGTTAAACAGAACCCCCCCAAAAGTGAGTTATGACTGTTTTTACAACCGTTGCGGCATCCTCTGTGGTCACGTGATCAAAATTCGGACGCTCTGCAACTGTCTCGCATTTACGACGGTCCCCCTATTGCGAACTTCTGCAAGCAAGCCAAGTCAACGGGGAAGCCAGATTCGCTTAATGAACGGGTTATCAAGAACCGCAGTGATTCACTTAGCAACCGTGGCCCAAAAGGTCCTAACACGGGTCGAAACCCACTTAGCCAGCTGTCTTGCTTAGCCACAGAAATTTGGGGGCTAAATGATGGTCGTAAGTCGAGGACTACCTGGAAAGCATCCTCGGGGCAAATCCCACCATCCCCACGTATTTTTTTTTCCAGTTAATTTTTTTTCCCCAACTGTCCAGTAGCTGAAGCTGTCTGGTATTTATTTATTTATGTATTCATTCGTTCATTCAGTTTATATGTCACCCATTTTATCAAGAGCCGATCTGCCAAGAAGAATTGGCTTTAGGTGCTTCTTGTCCATTGGCGCTAATTGTGCGTTGGTGTGTTTTCTCTTTGCAGACACATTGGTGTGTTATCCTTCTGGTGGTTTTAACCTTAGCAGCCATGATGGCTGGCACTGTCTTCCTCTTCGGACGGACAGTCAGCAGTAAACCAGGTAACTTTTGTGTGTGTGTGTGTGTGTGTGTGTGAAAATGTGCTTACTTTTTAATGCACCCAGCTAGGCTAGGAAAGGTTTGAGCAGATAGTGCAGTTTCCCCATCTTCTCAACTTTTAAGAGGCCTGAACTTCAACTCCCAGATTTCCCCAGAAGGCCGTGACCTTTGAACTCTGTAAGGTCACCTCCACGAACCTTCTCGGAGTCGAATAGGATCAAACTTATTTTTTTCCACTGTCCCCTGGCAGCAGGGTTTGGATTCTACCGGTTTAGAACGGTTCTATAGAACCGGTTGTTACGATTCTGCGCATTTTGGAGAACTGGCAGATTGTGCCGCTGGCTGGCCCCGCCCCTTTCTGCCTGCCCCTCCCCACCGAGTCGGTGCTTATTGCGCACGCGCAACATTGCGCACAAGCCCAACATCGTGGACTGCATGCTCCCCCACCCAGCCGCTCCTTAAGGTTAACGAAGATAGTAAGAAATGGAAGGATTTATATTCCTTGCAGACAGCTGGTCATTTGCACCATTTGGAAGAAAGATTGAGGCTACTTGGTGGTTTACCTGTGTCCTCAAGGTCACCTCAAGTGGTGCAAATGGCGCCTGTAGTCTGCAATTTGGGATGAACACCCTTGGAATGGGGTGGGAGTAGGAATGGATTTCCAGAGGAAAAAATTACAGACTACAGGAACCAGGAACACTTACACAGGTGACCCTGAGGACACAGAGAAACCTCCAAGTGGCCTCAACGACTGTCTAAAACGGATGTAAATGACCAGCTGTCTTCAAGGAGTATAACTCCTTCCGTTCCCCACCTCCCAGCCAGAGTTGAAGAAGCTTCTTGGAGGAGAAGCAAAACGTCTTCAAAGAAAAACCTGAAACAACACACGATCTGAGGACACAGATAAACCTCCAAGTGGCCTCAATGACATTCTCAAAGGATGCAAATGACCAGCTGTCTGCAAGGAATATAAATCCTTCCATTCCCCACCATCCAGTTCAGAGCTGAAGAAGCTTCTGGGGTGAGAAGCAACACGTCTTCAAAAGGAAAAAAAACCAAACAAGAAAGTCCAGTTGCCTTCTGAAAAAGTACGTTTGGGACAACCATGGCCTGGATGACTGAGAATCTCGATGGGCGAATGATGCGGGGGGTTGGACTAGAAGACCTCCAGGGTGCCTTCCCATCCTGTTATTCAATGTTCTGTAATTCCCTGCAGATGAACCATTCACCAGGATCTCCCCCAAGGCACTTCAGAGGAAGAAACAGCACAATTCCCTTCACTGGGAAAAGGAGGCTTATGTCGAAATGCACCAGAAACGGCTACGTTCTGGCCCTGCGGACCTTTGCTAAGCGGAATCTGCCAACACACACTTCCAGTTGCGGCACGGATAAACACCAACATTTCACGAGCCATCACACTCAAGTGCAAAAAAACCCAAAAAAATCAACTACGAAGATTTTCTTACTGATATGATCCCTCTAATTTTCCTTTTTTCCTCCCTTTCCATTTTTTTTTGCTTCTTCCTCTTTAAAAAAAAAACCAATTCATTAAAAAATAATTATTTTAAAGAATTGTTTTGGATGCCTGCTCATCCGAGGATTGAAAGAGGCTGTGGAATCCCCAACTATTCAAAATGATAGATAGATGATAGAGTAGATAGATAGATAGATAGATAGATAGATAGATAGATAGATAGATAG